GGGGGGGCGTATGGGGGAGGACGTTGGGGGACGAGACGCTGGGGGGGTTGTGGAGGGAGGGGGGGAGGAGCCGGTGAGAGCCAGGAGGGGGAGGGTTGCTCAGTGCCCGGGGTGCAACAGGGTGCTGTCGGTCGCCAATATGGCGAGGCACCAAAGGGCGTGCCTGGTGTGGGACCCTGGGGGGGGGGCAAGTCCCTGACGGGGATCGACGGCCCGGAAACGGAACAAACGGAACGGAACGGAAGGTAACGCAGATGACGAAGGTAACGCAGGTGACGAAGGTAACGCAGATGACGAAGGTAACGCAGGTGACGGAGGTTGTGTCGCGTGCAGACGCCGTGGTCCGGGACGCGACGTGTCGAGCGCTGCTGGGGGGGAGCGCTGGGGCGGCAGATGCGAGGCACGCGACCAGGGCGCCGCCGCTGCAGCGCGTGTTGCTCCCCATACAGGTCGGCATGCATCATGAATTATTTATATGAAATTAAATAGTTATACCAGAATGATTTATTTTATAGTGAATTTACTTGGCGTGTTCTTCGCTTTTAAAGTCTTGGTGAATCTTTGGTTGCCATGGAATTATCATCAGAGGCTGTTCTATCGGAAATTGGAACGAGTTTGTAGCTCCGTCAGTCAATCACTTCACGACTTTTGCAGATAAACTTATCGAGTAAAGACGATAATTTGGCAGTTACGTGCATTTATTAGGCCTGTTTTGATGGTACTACTTCCCCAGAGTAATCGAGTCCTGAATAGAACTTTCATCCCGCAGCGATTTTATTAAGGCAATGTTTGAAATTGATTATTAAAGTTCATTAATATTCCTTTTTTAATACTGCTAGCTTACGAAGCATGTTTTGCATTCTTCTTCATGTTAGATAATATATTTTCATACTATAGTGTATACACTATACAATATAAGTAACCAATAAGTCTTAGCCCTTTACGCCCTGAATTTCTGGGATGAAAATCGTAAAATTCACTTTTTCGGTTTTAAGTCTCACTTCAAAGCTGACATTCTGACCTATCAAAATCTAAGACTTTTTTTATTCCTGTGAATTTTTCGAAAAAATGACAGAAAACGTGAAATTGTTGGAAAACCGAGGTTTTTTTCTGTGTGACGAATTCGTCACGCCAGGGCGTAAAGGGTCAGATTACTCGAGAAGAATGTTTAAGTCACACATCGTTATTATGTCGTAAACCTTCCCTACAAATCGCAGTTATGATCAGAATTATACGGTTTTTATTAATGATGTATTTGTCCTCTGTTAACCGTGTTAGTCTGTGTTAATTATTTATGTGCTTGTCCTGTGTTTAACTCGTTAGTCTGTGTTAATTATTTATATGCTTGTCCTGTGTTTAATGTGCTAGTCTGTGATAATTTATTATTGGCTTGTTTTGTGTTTAATGCGTGTTTAATGTGCTTGTCCTGTGCTCGATCTTCCTGTGTCTACTTACTAATGAATGTTGCAATAATAGATATGTTATCATACAGTTGGCTACCAGTGATAGCGTATCGTACCCCCTGTAAAGTGTAACTCGCGTGTAGAAAAAGTTTTCGGGTGTAGCGGGTTAATATAACTTGATATAACTTAATAACTTAACATAAATCATAAGAATTGGAGGGCAAGTAAATTAAACTTAAGTGTAACTCTAATCTAACTAAACTGTTCGGGTGTAGCAGGTTAAATATAACTTGATACCTATTATTTAATATCTTAACATAACTCAGGAGAGTTGAAGGGCAAGTAAAGTAAACTTAAGTAAATTGTAACTCTAATTTAATTAAAATGTTTGGGTGTAGCAGGTTAATATAACTTACTATAACTTAATATAACCTAATATAACTTGATATAATTTAATTAAAACTCAGGAGAAATGGAGGGCAGACGCGGCAGCGGCAGCGTGCGAGCTGCTGCACGCTCTCCTGGCGCCGCTCACCAGAGGTCAGCCTTGTTTGTAGGACCAACCGCCTTATGTTTACAATGATTTCTTTTAATTATGACATTCATTATTTGTTTATAAGTTTGACCATGTTTTTCTTAACTTTTTTTCCAAATTTGTGAAAATGCTCGTGAAGCCAATAATTTGTCCAATAATATTTGGAGTTAGGTAGGGAAATGTGCTTGTGAAATTTTTTAGTTATTTGTTACTTGGGCAGTTGTTGATCTGTTCTAAATGAACTGCTCAGCGAGTAATTCTGGTCCAGTTCTGATATTGAGAATAAGGTCTATTTAGAAAAATACCTGTCGTGATATAAATGATGATGGACTGAAATACCGTACACGCATTAAACTACGATAGAAAAATATAAGAACAAATTAAATATAATTGCTGTTCCATTCCTACCTTCTTTTATTATTTGAAGAGTAACGTTGATTTGAATAAGTTTTAGGATTTTTATGACTTTGATTGCATTCAAATCGTACAAGAGGTTAAATATTTGTGATCGTACAAGATGTTTAATGTATGTAATCGTACAAGAGGTTAAATCTATGTGATATATATATGCATACAGGAGCGGTAAGGACCGCTGTCGTCTCGCAGCTCATCTCCGCCAGAGCTTCTGACGCGCTCATACGATGCCTGCTACAGCACCGGCAACAGCTGCAGCTACAAGAACTACAGCAGCAGCAGGTGCAAGAACTACAGCAGCAGCTGCAGCTACATGAGCTACAACAGCAGCAGGTGCAAGAGCTACAGCAGCAACAGCAACAGCTGCAGCTACAAGAGCTACAACAGCAGCAGGTTCACTACGACGCGCTCGCGCTCGCTTCGTGCCAAGTCATCGCAAAACTAATCACTAAAGGTAAGCTGAACGTCTTTGAAGAAGCCATTTTTTCTAGAGCCAAGAGAACGCATGTTACTAATTGTAACTTTTTAATTCTTATTTCCTTGCGCCACCTGCTTTTGGAACGAGAAAAAGATTTTTTGTGATGACATCATGTAACCTTATTAGTTCATTTGAATTATTTTAAATTTATAAAATGCTACGGTACTTGATATATTTATTTATGTTAAAATGTTAGTTACAAAAATGACTTGTGAGCAGAATGGTAGTCAACGCTTTTTCTGCCTAAGAAGAAAATTTCTGCAACGCGTAGACCATTTGATGCTCCCACTGGTGAATGCTTCTACAAATGGCTTAGCTGAATATTCAGACGAATTGCTCGGCTGAATTGCTAAGCTGAATTTCCAGACGAATTGCTTAGCTGAATTTCCAGACGAATCGCTTAGCTGAATTTCCAGACGAATCGCTTAGCTGAATTTCCAGACGAATTGCTTAGCTGAATTTCCAGACGAATTGCTTAGCTGAATTTCCAGACGAATTGCTTAGCTGAATTTCCAGACGAATTGCTTAGCTGCTGAATTTCCAGACGAAATGTTCTGACGAATTGCTTAGCTGAATTTCCAGACGAATTGCTTAGCTGCTGAATTTCCAGACGAAATGTTCTGACGAATTGCTTAGCTGAATTTCCAGACGAATTGCTCTGATGAATTTTGCGTACGTATACAGACGGGAGGGGAGCGGTGCGGCTGCGTCTGGCAGGGGGCGTGTCGCTGGTGCTGCGGCTGCTGCAGGAGCGCGCGGCGAGGCGCCCTACGCCGCCCCTGCTGCCCTACCTCATCCTCCTCAGCCTCGTCGCCAGGAACGGTGCGTGCGGGAGTCTTATCATCAGCCATGTCAATTCCCATCAGCCATGTCAATTCCCATCAGCCATGTCAATTCCTATCATTCATGTCAATTCCATCATCCATGTAAATTCCATCAGCCATTTCAGTAAACTTGATACATTTTAGTAAACTTGAAACTCGTTGTTATTTAACTTCCATTTGTTTCAACTGGTAATTAAATTCAGAGATTAGCTGCACTGCCTAAACATTCTCAAGAACCCCGAAGGCTTTATATAAGGCGTGTTGCAGGCGGCAACCAGCACTTGCTGGGGCGCGAGGGCGCCGTGCGGACGTTGGTGTCCATGCTCGCCTCGGCTCCCGCCAAGCACGCCACCAAAATAAAATATCTCATCGACATCCTCGCTTCCCTCGCAGCTACCAGTCAGTAGCTCGTTTTAGTCGTGTCCGACTTGCTTGGTAGTAAAATGCTATCTTTGATGATTGTCGTCCTACTTTGATTTCAATTCATTTGGTAATAAGTGAGTAGGTAATAAATTTCAATTCATTTGGTAGTAAGTACCTAAGTAGGTAATATATTAATTATTATTAATCATTTGGTAATAATTAAGCAGGTAATAAATTTCAATTCATTTGGTAATAAGTAAGTAGGTAATAAATTTCATTTCAATTCATTTGGTAAAAAGTAAGTAGGTAATAAATTTCAATTCATTTGATAATAAGTAAGTAGGTAATAAATAGTAATTTATTTTGTTGAGAATGGCTTAAATGATGAAACATCTAAGCACCATGAGAAAGATTCCTGGGATGTTTACTTTCGACTGATGTCTTATAATTGAAGTCGCTGTGCACTGCTGCAAATTTCGAGCTGTGAGTTCCTTTCGTGCACAAATTGATGAATTTTTTCAACTTTATGAATTCATTTATCTGCCGCTATCGAATATATCATCGGAAATTGAATGTCTCTTAAGCTTTAAATGACTTTACTATGGATTATCGTATATTTACGATATCATTAATCCAGGATATTGAACACATAATACAGGATATTATAATACATAGACAGGATATTATCGTATATTCATTAATACTTTTTCCTGTCGTTCCAAAGAAAGTTGTGCAGTGGAATGTGCGTGTTACGGTGCAGTGGGCGCTGCAGTGGCAGCTCTGCAGGGCTGGCGGAGCACTGAGCCTAAACTGCTGAGCAAAATATTGCGCTCTGCAGTGCTGCTCTTCCAGCGCATCTCTGACACAAGTGCGATAACGTCGCGTTTCCTTCAATATGATTTCCTTCAAAATATCCTAACTCATTTACCTCCCTAATATTCGTCACTGCTGCTTGTTCATTTCTTTACCATAACTTTTACTTAAATATACTGTTATCGTGACATATAATGTAACTTTTGCTATATGTATTGAGGTCACTTCATTGCTTGAATCGCAAATTCATCAAGAATTGAAAAACAAAAACTTTTATTATGATTTCGTTAGGTTTTCGAAGCACTTACAAATAATTACGAGTGCTATTGTTCGTAGTTGAGATAGAAACGAATAAGGTTCATAATTGTTACTTCTTATTTAATGATGAATGCGCCGTGTCTGTGACAAAAGTCTCTTGTTTACTTTTTTCTTTGTCTATTGAAATGCACGACTAACAGAAGAGTCATGTAGTTTTAATATGAGGAACGACTTGTATTCGTATTATCGTTCTCAGAGAAATCGAATGAAATTAAATTTTTAATTATGTTCCATCAATAATAATAGATTAATAAATTTTAATTTTTTTGCAGAGGAGGGCCGGTTTGCGGTGACCAGCGAGGGCGCTCTGTCGCTGCTACAGGATTTTATTTTCTCGTGTCCGGACCAGCGAAGCCTGGACAGCGCCGTGTGCTCGGCCGTAACCTTCTTCCTCAAGTGCCACCAAGAAGCCCCCCAGCAGATGTACCCCTCCAACGCACTCCCCCTCATCGTCTTCCGCCCCCCAACTTCAGACGTGGGCACTGGAGACGTGGATGTAAATTTCCCGACCTCGTCACAAGCCGCTTCCATTCAAACCGCCGACATTGACGATGCAGAGGATGACGATGAGGAAATAGGCTTAGAAGACGTTGAGCTTGAAGATGATCGGGAAACTCCTTCTCGTGATCTTCAAGTTGATTATGACCCCCAAAAGAACGATGTTCAACGGAGCCCTTGCGACGACACCACTAGCGTCGGATTTCGAGTGCCGTTACTTGAGCTGATGAGCTACGGACGTTTCTGTCCGGAACTGGGCGGGGAGGCGCGCAGGAAGGAGCTTTCTTTCTGGGAAAGTGTTAACGCCCTGAGCGGAGGTTCGTGTGGTTATTACACATCTTATGATAAATAATTCGCTTGCTTTTTAAGCTTATGCGATGCTGTGTGTGTTAAGATAGTTTTATTTAATGGCTTGAAATAAAAATGCTTAATAGAGATCAAATCTTGTTTGGTTAGCTTTTGTCTCAGAGAATACCTACTCCTTGCATGTGCTTCCGACCAAACAACCACCGCAGAAAAAAAGATCTCAACCCTCAACAGATCGCTACGCACTTCCCATCAGCCAAACAAACCGATACTTTTTTTCGTATTCTACCACTTTTGCTTCAAGCCTTGCTATGATTGTCCCCATGTCTTCCCTCCCGATGAATAACGTTGAAATAAAATTTATTAATATTTAATTTTGTTGAAACAGAATCTAATGAAGGTTATTTCAACGTGTGTTGCGTGGTGTGTTACAGTGAAAAACATCGCTGCTACCTCGAGCGTCTCGACCACGTCGTCGGCTCGACGCGAGACGTACGCGAGACTCGCGTCGTCCACCAAGTCGCTGCTGCCCTTCGTCAAGATCGCGTACCCTGACCTGGTGGGGGGCGCGTCTCCCCGCCACCTGGAGGCGCTCCACGTCAAAGAACCGCGGCTTGCGAGGTCATACAATTGTTCTGTTCATTGATTTTTTCTTTCTTGATTTTCTATTGAAATTTTTTCTGTTCGTTTAATTCTTTCTTTCTTGATTTTCTATTGAATTTTTTTCTGTTCGTTTAATTCTTTCTTTCTTGATTTTCTGTTCGAATTTGTGCTGTTCGTTTTATTCTTTCTTTCTTGATTTTCTGTTCAAATTTGTTCTGTTCATTGATTCTTTCTATCTTGATTTTCTGTTCAAATTTGTTCTGTTCGTTTGATTCTTTCATTCTTGATTTTCTGTTCAAATTTGTTCTATTCAATTGATTCTTTCCATCTTGATTTTCTGTTCAAAAATTTTCTGTTCATTTGATTCTTTCTTTCTTGATTTCCTGTTCATATTTGTTATGTTCATTTGATTCTTTCTCTCTTGATTTTCTGTTCAAAAAATTTCTGTTCATTTGATTCTTTACTTATTCTTCGCTGTTTCTTTCCATTTACTCCCCATATATTGAAGGAACATATGTTCGTGTCAATTATACCAGTTTAACTTATGATAGTCGTGCTCGATTTAATATGGCTTTGTAATTCATTTATATAACTGAATAACCTGTTCTTCTTATGCCTTCTGGTTCGTCATTCCATTCATATATCTAGCAATTTTTTCTCAACAGTTTTTTTATTTTAGTAAAAACAAGTCATTTAGTCTTTGCAGTGAAAACTCTTTCCCAAGTATCTTGTCTTGTAATTAATATATTCACCATATTAAACTCGGAGTGTCTGAGTGTCTAAGACCACCAAGATTGGAGCAGCGAGTTGGGAGTTCAAAACCCGCAACTATTTGTAAAAATTGTGGTCGAATTGGCAATATTGCAAGTTTCTAAGAGTCCGACAGCCTGATCAGAGCTAAGCTAGCACCGCTATATTGTATTATTAATATCTCAACGCGTGATATTCTTAACAAAATCCTTGATCCTGCTGCTGTATTCTAATAATGGTTATTGATCCTGACATTACGCGTGCAGAACACGTGGCGTGCAGCGCGTGGAACAGGTGCTACGTGGGCAGATGGTGCGCCGCGTGGTCTACGACCTGGACGCGCTGCTGCACACATCCTCCTCCCGCGGGCCCCACCCGCTCACTGCCGCACCGCTCGACGGGTAACGCTTTATGAATGATTTGTATGTCATCGTATTTTTGTTCATATTGTATTTCAATTGTTGCATTTTTGTTGAATTTTCACGTTTATTGATACCTATAGTTTAACGGTTTCTTGTACTATTTTTTTGCTTAAAAAGTAGACTTTAAAATATATGACATGACAGAAACTCCTTTGACTTTTTTTTTCTTATTCTAATCACCACGAATTCTCTGGTGATTTATTTGCTCATTAATACACACTTCAACTTCCCAACTCCCCTCATCATTTCCATAGTCTGAATTTTTATTCCAGGTATCCCAAATCCCCGGATGATTCTTTTTTTCCCTTTGCTTGCGCTCTAGTCATCCTAAGTTCTAAGTCTCCCTGAGTCACCCGAAGTCTCCCTAAGTCTCCCTAAGTCTCGGTACTGCCCAATACACTCGTCAACGGAGCAAACTACACTGAGATTATTTTGTGTCCTAGAACTCATTTTCCTTGCTGATTTCAAATTGGCTTTGTTTTTTCTTATCACATCTAGATATCAAAATAGTCGCTTTATTTCGTAAAATATATTTAATAATTTAAAGCATCTCACTATCAGGTTTGATAAAAAAAAACTTTTTTTCTGGTCTAACCGCTACAAATTATGTATGTATAATTAATGAGCTTCCCTCTAATTAATGAGCTTCCCTCTAATTAATGAGCTTCCCTCTAATTAATGAGCTTCCCTATAATTAATGAGCTTCCCTATAATTAATGAGCTTCCCTCTAATTAATGAGCTTCCCTCAGCCTGAGTAACTGTGATGAGAGGCGCGTGGGGCAGCGGGACGCGTCGGCGCGGAGCCTCAACTTCGAGAGCCGCTTTGAAGGCGGCAACCTCAGGCGCGCCGTACAGGTCTCGTCTCTTTGTTCTCTTGATTTGCATACTTATAGGCTCCTAATATTTATAAACTAGTTGAAAATAATAAGTTTGATCAAATAGATAATGTATAAATTTGTTCAGGCGCGCTGTACAACAGGTCTCGTCTCTTAGTCTTGATTATCATACTTGTAGGCTCATAATATTTATAAACTAGTTGAAAATAATAAGTTTGATCATATGAATAATGTATAAATTTCTTCACTGGCATAAATTGGCAGAACCATTCAGTTGCATAGTCCATGGCCTGAATTATCGATTTGTTTTTTATACATCCACTTAAATTCTTTCTACAATCATCATGAAAATGATTTATCTTGGATACCTATAGTCATCCTAAGTATCATTTGACGGCTAAGTTAGCCGTCGACATGACGTGCTAATCATCATGAAATTTAAACCTATTGTCATCTTAAGCCTTATTGGATAATTAATATTAGATTTTAGTTATTTCCCTAGTTAGTAAGCATACGTTAATGCTGCGTCAGGTTGGTGACCGTGAGTACGAGCTTGTGCTGCGCAGCGACGTGAGCAGCACGCAGCACCACCAGTGGTTCTACTTTGAAGTGAGCAACATGCAGGCCAGGCTGCCCTACGTCTTCTCTATTGTCAACTGCGAGAAGCCTAACAGCGAGTACAATGACGGTCAGGTTCTATTCTTCTAACGCATTTTGGAAGCCCGTTATTATTTTGTGTTTTTTTTTTTAATTTGAAGCCCGTTATTTTGTGTTATTTATTATTTGAAGCCCTTTATTTTGTGTTATTTAATATTTGACGTCCCTTATTTTGCGTTTTTTTTTTATTTTATTATGCCCGTGTAGTGGCTAATTATCTAATGAATCGATAATCGTAGTAATATTAAAACGAGTAAAAACTTTACAGTAAAAGCCAAGTCGTGGCACAAATGACAAGATCTGTGTTGTACGCATGCAGGTATGAAGCCGCTGCTGTTCAGCGTGAAGGAAGCGATGCACGGCCGCCCTCACTGGGTGCGTGCGGGAACTGAAGTCCTGTACCACAAGAACCACTACCGACGCCCCCCTCCTGTGGTTCTGGACCTTCATAACCATGCTGGTGGTGGTGGTGACGTGGTGGTAAATGCTGGTGGAGTTTCACAGGTTGATTCCACCAAGAAAGCCTCGACCAAGAAGAGTCAGACGAGCTTGTCTTACTACACCGTCAGTTTCACCATCGTCTTCCCGCACGCGTACGACGTCTGCTACCTTGCTTACCTCTACCCTTACTCCTACACTCACTTGAAGGTGGGTTAGTTTACCTACTTATTGATACCTCGCTTACCTCTACCCTTACTCCTACACTCGCTTGAAGGTGGGTTAGTTTACCTACTTATTGATACCTCGCTTACCTCTACCCTAGCTCCTACACTCACTTGAAGGTGGGTTAGTTTACCTACTTATTGATACCTCGCTTACCTCTACCCTTACTCCTACACTCACTTGAAGGTGCGTCACTTTGCCTACTTTATAATTAGAATATTTGAACTAAGGGTAATGTAATTACACTTAGGAGCTTCTCGTAGGTATTTTATCCTTTAGATGATTAATGTGTTTAATAAGTTATATATATCTTCATTTGCCCAAGTGTCGGCGTATTCTTGTATTATGTCCCGTGTATAATAAATCTTTGTTGTTTATTTCTTACTTTCTTCGCTTTGGTTCTGTTTTCATTATTTTTTTTCTGAGTTAACTTGCGCATTGGTCTTTACTTCTTCACAAAGAAACACTACAACTTAAATATTGGCTTGATGATGTAAAAGTTTTCTGTTGATTCATGCCTTTGTGCCTTAAATGCAGTGCTTCCTGAGGACTCTTGAAGCGAGCGTTGCTGCGGACGTTTTCTACTCCTGCCAAACATTGTGCCATTCTCCTAACGGCAACCCTGTTCCTTTGCTCACCATCACCAGCAAAGATGATGTCGTCTCTTCTGATCCGCGGCTAGTCCGTCCTCAACATGGAAGAAATTTTCACAAGATGTCCAACACTAGCACTGGTCATATTTTTGCTCCAAATGTTGCGAACAGTCGCTCTGTTGATACCAGTAAAGATTACAAACCAACTATAGAGAATAATGCCCTCTCTGTAGATAGTGACGCCGAACCATTCCATATTCCGCGACCTGTTGACTTCGGACAAAGCTTGAAGTGCCATTTGAATCCTCATAGTGAAATAGATCGGCAGAATAAAGTGAACGTTGATTCCCGTAGCTGTGATAGTAGCCTCAAACGTAGTTGTAGTAAAAATAATATTTGTAGTGTAAGTAGTTTTAGTGCAGATAGTATCCGTGATAGTCTTAATGACAATTTGAAGTGCTGCAATACAAACCCGCCTGAAAATGGCATTTTCTGTGATACTGATGTTGTGAAAGATTATCTCTCTGATGAAGTGTCCTCTCCCGTTAATGTCGCCAGCATTAGCTCAAGTGTGGAAAAAGATTTGTGCAAAAATAATAATAGCGAGCCGGGAAAATTGTCAGTGGTTTTGAAAGATACTGCCAATGGTGTTCATATTAACGAGAAAAAAAGAGCTGACAGCGCTACAGACGCTAAAAATTCTGGATCGAGCAGTCCTGACACTTCTCCTTCATCCTGTTACTCGACTCCTACAATTGAGATTTTGTACAGCGACCTTTTTAGTGAAGACGGCAGCAGCAAGTTTAGTTTCTCGGAGGCAACGCCAGCTAAGGAGGCAGCAAAAGTCAAAACTTCTAAAGAAACCTCATCCAAAGCCGTAGAGTCTGTTGAGAAGACAATTAAGTCGAAGAATTCTGCTGGGAAGAAACCTACGACGGGAATTGTTAATATCAGAGATGAGAATGCAAAAGAAGAAACCGCTGGGCTGTCGCCTGAAATTAATGCCGATGCGTCGAGTTCAGAAATCGCGATGCGAGCAGCTGTTGCAAGCAACGAGAGTTCCATCTTCTACAATAAAGCTTCGATTGTCACTGGTGAAACTTGTTCTGGATTGAAGTTTCCTGAAGGCAGCGAGGCTTCCAGCAGTGAGAAAATTACGAAAACCACAGAAATATCTTCAAATGAAACTGTGAGCTTGGAGCCTGTGGCTGCCCCCGTCGACCCGACGTTAGGTAAGCATGACACAACCAAGACTCAGTGGGATGGCCACGACTCGCCTGACTTCAGGAGCCCCAGCGCCGTCGAGGACATGTGGTCCAAACTCACCGAGTCTGCGCAGGCTGCCACCGCGTCTGATGCTCCTAGAGACGCACGCGAGACGATGAGAGATCATCACTTGTCTTGCGATACCAGCGAGTGTGATGCAAGCGTTGTTGATGGCTGTCGTCTCGCACGTACGCCCAAGGTGAGAGTTGAAACGTTGCAAAAATGATTAAGTTTCGAACATCTGAATGTTAGTTAGAATTTGCGACGTTTCGTTTTTGTTCATGGAATTGAACAGATTCTGGTAATGGGTCGTTCTTCTGGTTTATATTTTGTCTTTCTTATTCAAGTACGGTAGGTATGTTTTTATACGCATCATATATGTTTCGCTGAGGAAGTATTTCATTCCATGTGATCTCCGAAAATATTTTTTATATTTTAATCCAATTGCTTACACGATATTGACGGATGGATAGTCCCTTGTCCACTATAAGCCTTACTCCTCCTCATCTTCCTATTCACCTCTCCCCATTCCCTCTCACCTCTTTCCATTCCTATTTACCTCCTTCCTTCTGTGTCATCATACCTCATAGCATGAGGCCTGTTGTTGATAATTACCTCCTCCACAAGACTGATCTCCCGCTCATCCCTGCCCCCCCAGCCGGTGGTGTTCCTGAGCAGTCGCGTGCACCCCGGGGAGAGCAACGCGTCCTGGCTGATGGAGGGCTCCCTACGGTGGCTGGTGTCGGGGCACGCCGCCGCCGCTGCCCTGCGACGACGCTGCGTCATCAAGGTCGTGCCCATGCTTAATGTCGAGGGCGTCATTCACGGCAAGTGAGTCACATTCATGATTAACTCTTTTATATACTGACTTTATTTCTTGGTCAGTGAGTCTCTTGTAAAAATTTTTTTTTAAGGCTGATATTGCGGCTTGGTGACTGAGAATTATTGATAAGTGCTCATTTTCAAGCGGCTACGTTTGCTGGTCTGTGGATACCAATGATATTGCTGTGGGCTCACTCTGAAAGCCAACTAGGCCCAAGCATCGGCGTTAAATACGGTTCGTGATCGTAATTCCAACCCACTCCTTATTCATGTTCCAAGGGAATTCAAACTCCACTTGTATTCGCTATTTAATGTTTCAAGTTCAAGCCCTAAACTTCCCTCCGTCACGTCTCCGCATCAAACAATAACTAGCGCAGCGTTCCTAGAGTGCGGACGTGAACAGTGAAGTAGTCTCTAAACCTAAAATTTCAAAAAATATCTTCAATTAAAACCCTAACAATATGTATTTTTTTAGGCTGCTATTCATTTATGTAAGATTAGTTGTTCTCATTGTTGTCGTGCTCATGCACACTCTTTCACTGTTGTGTGTATTTGCTTTATTATAAAGCGTTTCAGATAGATACGCATGTTGCTTTTTGATGTTATTTCGTGCAATATTCGTGGGAAAACATAGACAAATTTGCAGGGCATAATTTGCGGTGTATAGCAGAGCTGCTGTTGCAGACGCAGTATACAGGAGTTGCAGTTCAGCTTAGACAATAGACTGATCACACCAAAGAAATAACACTGCAGCACGTTAGGATTGCATCCGAATGAGACAACGTCAAGAATCATCATTGTATTTCAATATAAGCAAGCATACGTTTCCTGAGCCCAGAGTCAGTTAATTTCCGGGTGAGAGATGATGCTTCCTGAGACTCAGCTCGTGACGGTTCTGATGCTTTCAGATGAGCAATAAATTTTAAGTTTTTTTTATGTTATTCTGAAGCTTGATCGGAAAATATTCGCAAATAAGGATATTAATGTCTTAAATTACGAATGGTCTGGCAACAGAGCCCAGCTGAAAGCTTCCTTCCTCTCAAGTTGGTTCACTCGGTCTCGACTCAAGTTTCTTTTAGGTGTGAACTCTGGGATGGTCAGTCCCTCTGGGCTAGTTAATTCCTCTGTGATTATCAGTCCGTTGTTGGTGAGGCCGATGGCATGATGGACATTTCCAGCGTTTGTTTCCTGCGGTGCCTGAAGGAGGAGGCTCAGAAATGGGATCCCAGGATCAGCGATGATGTTACTCTCGTCTGTTCGCTCCAATAGTTTGTCCAAGTCCAATTGGGAGTTTATCTCCTTGATTGAATCATTAGAGAATACGTGCTCATCTACGTGGTCGCTTTGAAGATGCTGGGTGGGCTTGGTTTCCTCGTCATTTATATTAACTCCGATTATTTGCAATGAGGTTAGATTTTTGTCTCGAGTATGGCTGGGATTCAGTATCGAAGTGTTACTTTGGTCAGTCGGTCCTAGCAATTCCTTAAAAGAATTTTCGATTATTTGTGTTTGACCGCCAGCTTCGTTTGAATTTGAATCTGGTATATCTTTTCTGACCTGGGGATCAATAGTTGAAAGTTTCAAGAGGGTTTTCCGTATGACGTCAGTCGACACTCGGCTCCTTGGAGTCGTTGGAGCGCCGCTGTCGGGGAAGTGTATTACGCGGTTGGCAGGACCGGTTGTGTGGGGGCGGCTAGGGGGGCTTGTGGTTGAAGATGAAGGTCTGCTGATGTTCCTAACTCCCTGCCTGATGAATTTCCTGTTGGCAGGTCGGCGGTAGTAATGTCAATAATTGGAATTACAGAAATGTTTTTTTTTCTTATAAATCTGTTACTAACAATAATGTGTAGCGATCATAGATGTGCACGATTTGTTCAAATGGGTTCTTTAGATCGGGAGATCTCGAACTAACAATTTATTTTGGATAGAAAATTTAATGCATAGGTTGAAGATCACTGTGCCCAGTGGCTTAGATTGAGCTGTACTCATAACTCTGCGTGAATCGACGGTTCGAAAAGGACTTTCACAAAGATGATAATTTTGGAACGTCTACATTTACCTGCTTACCGCGTGCGAGAGTTTGCTTCTGTGTCATTGGTGGAGGGCGGGTTACTCCTGACGTAGTTGAAGAAGTAGCAGCGAGTGATCTGGCAGATGAAGTGATGAGGCTGCGTACAAGACGCTGTCTTCCATTGCTCTGCATCAAGCAGCATGCATTGCTCGTTGCTGCTCCTGTTATATAAGAAGCAGTGAGCAGCTCAGTCTTGTGTGGGAGAGAAATCATGCAAGTTATATGCTGGTAGTAACTCAATTTGCCTTACCAAATTTCAAGTGAGAGTAGAATGCGTTTTGAATGACTGGAAGAAATAGGTATTAGTTATTAAAATGGTATCGCGGTAGAAAATCTATTGTATTATTAAAGTTTTACATTTCTAATGTTTATTAATGTCATGCTGGCAACTGGCATCCAGTAGGTAAAGCTGGTGTTGTAAGGATATGTTGCACCACAACATTTACTCACGTCAGTTTGGCAGCTGGCGCCCAGTAGGTAAAGCTGGTGTTGTAGGGTTGCCCGCTGGTCATCCAGAGCCACTGACTTGACCCCAGCTGGTTGCCACTGGTCCAGAAGCTTTGGCGGCCGTAGCCTATACTCCATAAGTAACAATTCACAAATTGATGCATTGACATCGAAATTTTCGGTAAACAACCTTGCAGGTTAGATCATTCTAGTTTCTGAATTACGGTATTCTCTTTGAAGTATTAAGAAAATAGAAAATTTCTTATCGTTGATTAATTTATAATGAAAAATCATTATTGGATTATTTGTTTTTAATTATTATTTATTTTCAGATATACTCGTTTATCACTGAAGAGTGCTATAGCTCTCAAAAATGTACATACCTACTTGAGGATCTTTTAAAAATCGGTTCTGAGCTCACGAAAATTGGTTCATAATACATTAACTTTTGAGGTGAAAGGCATTTAGTTGAAAGATTTCTAAATTTTTACAGAAAATTTGAAGGTAACGAAAGAAGCGTTTTATTACAAATCAAATACCAATATGAAAGGTATTCAATCAATTTAATTTGAATTCATCCATGCATGGAAAGCTCAGCTAGGGCCACACTATCGGAAATATTTTGTAACTCCGTCAGCCAGTCACTAACGACGCTTCAATCTAAACCCACCAATTACAGACAAGAAATCGGCTGCTACGTGAACCTTGGCTAGTTTTGATAGTACGGCCACAGAATCAAATGCATTGAGATCGCTACGAAGACAAATACAGCTCATTGCGTTATTTTTCATCCGTTGTAAGTGTTCATAGAAGGTATGCTGGTCGCTGCTCACCGTTGTTATTCAGGAAGGTTCGCAAGACCTGCGCGTCTTCTTGCGAGTCTTCGGTGAGGAGCTCCATGCCAATAGTCCTGCAGTACTGGTACGCTAGGAACCTGTGGACATGGTCAGCGGTTAGCATCCTGGTATCTATATGGCTGTGACATGAGTATGGGGTTGGGGGTTGTATATTAACTTGGTCACTTGTTACTACTTGTGTCTCTGTGTGCTGTAAAATGGGCATGACTGCTTTAACAAGAACACGCGTTACTACCAGGATATCAGCGTGCTGTAACATGACCATGGGTTATTGGTGATCAACTGGTGTATTTTTCACGGCAGTGAGACATTGAATTGAAATTGCGTTGAATTAACGTTAATTTAACCGATCAAAGATTAATTCAATGTTGATTCAACCATAGATGTCTGGAGGGGAGGCAGTAATCGTTCAGCGTCTACAACTTTAAAACAGAGCTGCGCAATCTGTAGGAAGCTTGATTCTGTACTGTTGTGATTCTGCTTCGTGCTGAGAATTTGTATTGCCAGTTGGCAATCTTGTTGTACGCGAATTTTTTTTACGTGTTTGCGACTTTGTTTAGGCGTTGTAGGGGGACTGCGTTACCAAGAGAGGGGTGCGTTGTAGGGGGACTGCGTTACCAAGAGAGGGGTGCGTTGTAGGGGGACTGCGTTACCAAGAGAGGGGTGCGTTGTAGGGGGACTGCGCTGAGATGTAGTAGCTGCGCCCCTCTATTTCCACGGTGCTGATGCGCTGACCTGTAGAATGTGAATGTTGGCAGGTTATGATTTCTCAAGTGGGAATTACTGTCTATAATTTGCAGCGTAATTTACAATGAAACGAGCTCACATGCATAAATACTAATTTTTTGTTCATGGAATTAAAACGAAGATCAGGCTCACTTTGTGCCAAATGAAGTGTCGTCACACCATTTTCTATGACTTCTGTATATCATTAAGACATCAAAAGTTTGAATGCATTGGAGTAGAAATTAAATTTGGACTAAATGATTGGATAAGGTGGAAATTTAGTTGAGCCGTTTTCATCTTTGATTTTCAATTCTGTTGAAGTTATAGAATATTTTCTCACTTAATTGAGTTATGCCCGTCATGGCTAGCAAAGCTTCATACTTGATGACTTTACAGATTATTAGGAATAGATTTTGACTTTTCCAGCTAAATGCCGTTAAACAGCCATTACGAAACTAACATACAACTCTGGTCCAACACCAAACGAAACGCCGCCTAGCCTTCGCTACACTCGGCACTGCTTGAACGCGTCTCACCTGCAGTAGGTGGCGACGAGAAGCAGAAAGCTGCCAGAAGTAGCCATCTGCTCACTGATAACACTCTTCCCATCGTCATTATTTACAATTTTTACCTATTAATGTACTTCTGTATTTAATTCGTCAAGTTTTCGTTATTTCTATACGTGAAAAACGTTCGCTTCACTTTTCTTCTGCGTTGTTTACTGCAGAAATAGTTGGGTTAGAACAATAATGGGTGACAGATTATTTGTACTATCACTGTATGGTATGTAAGTTTAGTTTACTTTCAAGCTTGTAAATTCAATTGTGAGAGCCCGGAAATAAAGTATAATAACCTGAACTCAGCATAAATCTTTATTTACAAAATTTCTGGTTCAGAACGTAAAATGTCAGATGCAATCGTTTATTTGGATACATTATGTATGCTGATTATTAGATGTTGATCGCGATATACCACCTATATAATTGTCATAGAAACCCACTTTCAATAAATTTTATTGGGATAACAATTCTATTGAAACAATAAATACTGTTGATGTTCCAGGAAGCCCTTGAGATGCAGATCATCATATTCCTGTTGGCAAGTTATATTTTCTGCGCAATTTTTCCCTTCAACTCTCATTGATCTTTCTCATCTCGTGCGATTGTATCGTCCTGTTGTTTTGTATATTTTTTCATATTTTACTCCTCCGTTATTTCTTTCGGTATCCCTTCTCATTTTCTCGTGTATATGCCGCTGCAACCAATCAAAATTTGAATGTGCGGCCCGAGTATAAATGGGTGGTTATTGAATACTTTCGTTAAAAATTTGTAGGACGCTCTGGTATTTCCGCTCTTTTTTTTTATTGTTGGCTCTAAGTTATTCTGATCTTTCGTCCGACGTTCAAATTCTGGGAATTGCCCCGAGGAATCCCCCAGACGAGCCGGACGTTGAGTGTGTTGTATACTGCAGGGTGCGTTTTACTAGACTTCAAAAATTACGGGTTAATATTCATGTTCGCTTTCCCAATTGCGGGTGAATATTCCTGTTCTCATTCCAAAAATGCGTCGTTTGATTAAATTTCACATTTGTCTAGGTGAACATCATTCAATCTCGAGATTTTTTTTTGTACCGTTTCCTTTCAAAATTTACTGGAATTCATCGCCGTTGACTGTAATTGGAAAAATTCTACTATCCTTGTGTTGAACGGTGGTTTTACAGTGAGGTGGCCTGCTCTGGTTTTATATGAACGATACGGCTGTTTATCAATTGAATACTCCTATAAACGCGTGCAAAGTCTTGTTCTGATGTGTGCAAAGGCTTATACTAAGTGTGCAAATTGATAACGAACTTTCCTCCGGAACTTTGATCCCAGGCAACGTGTTCGGGCCGCTCTAAACTCGTATATGTCGGCGGGTTTGTTTCCAAAGGCAACCTTCCATTTCGGTTAATTTTCCATTATGCAACTTCAGTGCCTCAAGTTGGCTGTAGTTATCTATTATCGCTGTAATTATGCATAACAGGCATTTATATAAAGCTTGTTGATTTTGACCACACCTTGCGTTATCGCTCCATCACAAGGCACTATACAATTGCACTCGTAGCTAGTGTCATGCTACCGACATGGCGATGCTTGTCATTCATCTGTTAGGACAGAGACTGCACTGAACTTCACTGCACTGTAATCCTAATAAATGCACAGCACTTGTCATCAATTCACTGCACCGTGCATGTACTGTGGCAAGCACCGCACACCGCGCACTAACCGCGGCTGCTCGCGCCGTCGCCGCTGCTTGGAATGTGCCCAGCTCCGGCATGACCTTCGCTGGCCGCTGCTTGTGCCAGGCGCCGTATTAAATAAAAGATTCGCTTATTCGTTCGCCAAACTACAATCTTATTTTTAGTTCGAGAAAGTATTTCTTTTTGTCGGAAACGTTTCAGCCCTGCCCAGTGGAAATTGGCCTGCTACATTCGATCGTATTCAAGACTATTAAAATTGTTTTTCTATATGAATATATTTTATTTTTCTGTGTCATAAGATAGCGTCATTCTATATAGCGATTTTTTGCGCATGTTCTCATTTATGGAAAAATGGCGCTATTGTGTTCGTCATGTCCGTCCGTCTGTCTGTCCGTCCGGTTGTCCGTCCGTGACCACGTTTTCGTCGACGAGAAAATGCGCTCTCTGTCACTCACTGCAGTGAGTACTGAGTTATATTTTTTTAGTTGGTTTACACGCGTCTAGGCGACGCTTGCCGCCGCGTAATTTATGATGTGGTTGACCTTAACGCGCATGACCCAAGGTCATCAGGCTGGAGGCATCAGCTCGGGGTTTCCTGGACATCTTCTCAGAGATTCTTGACCGCGGGGCTTCATTTTGCTACATTTTTTTTATTAATTGATTTTAATAACCATATTGAATTATATGTAATTTAAACTATAAACTAAATGATTACACTTGAAAACTATATTGAATTAGTGCATTATTTGGGTATATTTATCATAATAATAGCTGCTGTCTCGGCCGTCCAAAAACTTTTTGTTCTTGATCGCCAGCCACGATCTGTTAAGAGTTATTTCATCCATATCCTTTATCACTGTTTATATATATTTCCTCCATATCCTTTTTTACATCCTGCATGTGGCTACGTCTGTATGTGTCGTGTTGTGTGGCGTTTATGCAAGGAAATCCCAGCCCAGGTGGCTTCTTTGCTGATTTGGAACGGCTAATTTTTAATTTCCAAATAATATTGCAAGTTTTAGCTGATATATTTAATATTGCTGACATTATTGTTGGTATTGCCAGCACGCGGTGCGGGCTGACGGGGGAAGACCTCAACCGGCGCTGGCGCAGCCCCTCAGCCACCCTCCACCCCTCCATTTATCACTCCAAGGTATCGTTAAAATCTTCTGTTTTCTCTTACAAATACATATTTAGTTTTTTTATCTTATAGTATAATATAGATAGATATAAATAATAATCTAGATTAGTCTGTGACAAATTCAAATTCAGAATAATAATTATTAATTAATCATAATTATAATTAAAATTTTTTAAATTATATTTTAGTTACAATTATTATTACTTGAATATTTATATTGACTTCGTAGACTCAAACCTGCTGCTATCTTCCAAGATATAGGTTAGTTACCGCTCAATTATCTTCAGCTTTGCAATTTTTGTTTTATGTCAGGTCTTGCTTAGAATTTGAAGGTGGAACACGGATGCTATATATGATTCTGATGATCAAATGCTATCCAAGATGAAACATTTGTTTACTTTAATTACGCAAGTTTTACTCTATCTTGTAAAATTTCTATAAGTTTTCACCCTGTGACTGCTTGAAGTACGTTTTATTAAGATAAAATGGATATTAAGATAAAATATGCTTTGAAATTATGAATTCTCCAGTGCTTTTAGGTTCAATTAATGCTTTTGTGTGGTTCAACTAATTTTGTTTTAAAAGTGATTTTATAACTTTTTCTTTCTGCAGGCTTTGCTTGAGTATCTCACGCATGTCGTGGGGAATGCTGACAATGCTGGCAACAACGCTCCTGCTGACGATGCTGACAGCAAACCTCCTGCTGACAGAGCATCTCTGCTTCTTGCATCGGCTGGTGTCAGCGGTGACGACGTCTCTGCCATGCCCGTCTCTGCTTGCAGTTCAGCCACCGGCGTCTCTGACGAAGTGCAACGTCGCGGCCACGACGCTCATCTTGCGGCACCTGTGCTGGACTGCAATTCGATGAGTCTTGCTTCTTCGTCTTGTACACCTGCTAATAAATCAAATGATGAGCTTCAGATCCCAAAAGATGGTGCCCTTAAAGCGTCACTTGATAGGAAGTTCGAAGGCTGCGCAGATGTGACAAAAAATGGCGTCAGGGAGTCGGGAGGGGGAGCTGCCGTGGCGGAAGGTGACTTTAGGGAGTCGACAGGTAATGCCACTGTGGCAGAAGGTGATGTTAGGGAGTCTGGACGTAATGCCACTGTGGCAAAGAGTGGCACTAGGGAGTCTGAAGACGGTGCCACCGTGGCTGAGAGTGGCACTAGGGAGTCGAGAGGTAATGCCACCATGGCAGAGAGTGGCACTAGGGCGTGTGCAGGCGTCGCCACCGTGGCAGAGAGTGGCGTGGTCGTGTACTGCGACTACCACGGCCACTCCCGGCAGAAGAACCTCTTCCTGTACGGCTGCTCGAGGCGTCTGTCGTGGTGGCCTCAGGACCGATGCCTGCCTGATCACCCGCGGCTCACGGTGCGTACAGAGTAATGTTTCCTGCTGTCTTATACTTACATTTGTTTTATAATTTATACGATGAGTGGCTTTCAAGAAACCCACACAGAAAATACAGAGCTCACACACAAGCTTTAGGACATACAAACAAAACAGTACACACATACTCGTTCTGAGTAACGTTACCTGCTGTTTTATCCTACAAATGTTTATACGATGAGTGGCTTTGAAGAGACGTGTATTTGTTTTTAATTAGTATAGGCTGTAGAAATTGTTCTTTTATACAAGTGTGATTGAAGATTATCTAAAGTTAGGTTTTTTTAGGTTTTAAGCTCTGATCATCATCTGCGTCTGCGTTTTGCAGCATCATTAATTGTGTGAAAACCTGAGTAAGGAATTTAAATGCAAAGAAAACACCAATCAAATTCACCATATCGATATTGAAAACGTTTCAAAGTCCAGCTCCATCATCAGTTGGACAAAGTAAAAATGAACAAAATCATATTATAAGTCAAACTTCTAAGACAGACATAAAACCTTGTGAACTTGCGATATAAGCAGACTGATAATATAAGTACCGGTACTTATAAAACCTGAGTAAATATGCTGATACTTTTGGAATGCGTATACAATGTGAACATGTACATGCCAAGCCTCCGAGATTAGCACGCCAGAGCTGGAGGTCCGAAAATGAATGAAATTTAAATTTGCACTTATACCGTATAAAAAAGTATATACTTGCTCTCTCATATACCTGCATATATACGCCAGAGCCGTCGTTGTGAAACCAATTCCATCTGTCTGTAAGAGAGCTAGCAAAATATATATGCTGCATTATGGCAGTAAATATGTAAAGGAATATGTAAACTACATTGTAACCTGTCTTTACAATACTTGAGAGGAAACGCCCAGTAATTTCACCATATCTTCACCGAGTTCTTGAAGATATGGTGAATCTACATTGCCCTTTCTTTGTTTATATCTTCGTTGACTAAGCAAACAAATGATATAATTTTGTGGAATATTAATATGAGTTTGTATTTTGATAGTGAATTTATTGTGTTTTTCGTTGTTTATTAATCCTTTTTTTGACTTGCGAGTTAATCATTGTCGGATGGCATAAGTTCAATTGTACCAAAACTCGGTCCGGTTATAACTTATAAAGTTGTGTTGCCTTGCTTGGGGTTAAGCCTGCAAATGATACAAGTTCGAGCAATGTTCACCACCACGCTGCCAGCGCTGTGTCATGAGCCTGGCTATGTTGTATTTACATATTGTTCTCTTTGTGAATTTGTATTCGACTTGCTATATAATCCAACAAATGATACAAGTTAGTGCAATATTCACAACATTAATGGTGTGTGCAGCTACTGCCAGCGCTGTGTCATGAGCCTGGCTATGGTGTATTTGCGTATTGTTCTCTTTGTGAATTTGTATTTGACTTGCTATATAAGCCAACAAATGATATAAGTTTGTGCAATATTTACACATCAATACTGCGTGCAGGTGCTGCCAGCGCTGTGCCAGGACCTAGTGAGCAGCTTCAGTGCACCGCACTGCTGCTACACCGTCGAGCGTGCACGGGAGAGCACGGCGCGTGTGGCGGTGTGGCGGGAGTGTGGCGTCGCCTGCAGCTACACGCTCGAGGCATCCGCTTCTGGCTGTGACCAGGGCGTGTACCAGGTGAGATCCTTTATTATTTCATGTTTATCATTTGTTAAGTCTAGATAATTTACTATTAAATCTAGATAGATAATTAAAGTATTAAATTGCATTAACAAGACTTGCTGCGCCCTTGGCTGTCACCAGGATGGTATGAGTGAAGAAGCTTTATACTTTTATGTGTATCTGGTTTTATGTGAACGGTCTGCGTCAATTCCTCACTGCGAAAGAACATGTCTTCGATAAGAGTTTTATTTGCGTTTTCCTTGATTAAAATTATTCTCTTTCTTGCAATATGTGATCGCTTGCGCAGTGTAGGATTTATAATTAATATTTATATTATTATTAACAATTATTATCATTATGATGTCGACTTGAGCAGGGCTATCACCTGGGAACAAACCAGCTGCTAGAAGCTGGTGCCCAGTTCTGCGAGGCTCTCCACCAGATGTTGTGTCCAGCACCAGCTGTGGGGGATCACAACCAGCTGGCTGTGGAGACCATGACTCATCACCACGCTAGGTAACTTGCTCCACGTGATGTTCTTGAGGTCATTCACATTATTGTCTTTCTTCATCGGACTTTTCTCAGCACAAATTTCATTTTATATTTAATTTTCCGTTATGGTATTCCATTTCCTTGTAATTTGCTCATTTTACCGAAAAACGTGAATATTCTTCTCATTATATTACTATATAATATTCTTCCACTTCAATATGATTCTACTGGTACAGGTTTCTGAATTCCTTTTAGTTTTTTTTTTCAATTCACGAACATGAATCAAGTTACGGTAGGAATAGTGGCTGCGGAGATGTGGTCGCTATAGTTAGGCTGGCATTCTATTGATGATGGTCAGCGAACTAGTTCTGTTTAGTTGGTAAATTTCATTTTTTTCACTTCACTTCATAAAAGGAAGAAAGCTGTTACGTTTATTCTGCTGTTTTATTCATTAGGAAAATGAACAGATATCAATTGCACAAATGATTAAATTTTTTTACTTCTGATTCTTGCCAACTCGTACAATTCAGCTGTTTTAGTTTTGTTTCTATGATCATGTGTCAGCGCGCCAGATCACCGTTTACCTCAGCTGTTAGAATGTTAAGCCTGTAATGTTTAGGCCTAAGTTGAGTTTAGACCGTTTATTAGATTTTAATTTACAGTAACATCACGATAATTTCACCCAGAAGCAATAACGTTCGAGCTGTATTATTATGAGGGTTTTCTGTAAATCATTTTACTTTCGCCTTTGGTAAATTCCCCTTTGTTTTGTTCATACGCCTGCATAATGTTTTTGCTTCATCAGATATATTGTCTTATAACTATGATAATAATTTAAGTATTCTATTGGGCCCATAGGTTCTTTAATTTCCTCAAACTAGCGTGTTATTTACGATAATTTGGTTATTCATTTCATTTAATTTTTTTCACTTCAGTTCGTCAGAGGAAGAAAGTAATGAAAGTGGTTGTGAAAGTGATGCATTGTGAATGGGTGAATTGTGACTTGGGTTGTCGAAACTTTGATATGATTGACTGACCGTGAAATAACTGAATGAAGTTGGAATGACCGAGTGAACGTGAAATGATTGACTGAACTTGAAATGATTTTTGACCTTCAAATGATTGACTGAACTTAAATGATTCTTGACCTTTAAATGATTGACTGAACTTGTAAATGATTCTTGACCTTGAAATGATTCTTAAACTTGAAAATAATTCTTGAGCTTGAAATGATTTTTGAGTTTGAAATGACTGAGTGAACTTGTAAAGATTGATGGATCACCTAGAATGTAAAGGTAGAAAGCCACTGCAGTCTTGGATCCTGGGTGTATAAGTTTGATTTGAGCGCCGCGTTCCGCGAGATGTTCAGGAAGAAATTAATATCGCTGCTGTTTGCAGTTATGAACGGCTTTATTGTGACAAATTTATAGATTATGCAAATTTTGATGACCCGCTAACTTGTGAACGAAAAGTGTGCAAGGAGCCAAGCGGGCATTGAAAAAAATCTGAGATGAATGTAAGGTTAAGAAGTGTTATTTGGTCCTGAAGATAACGACTGATGATGATATTGTATCTGCTGATTACTGGGATGGCGAGAGTGAACGTGCCGGTGAATGGAGGGGTGAGATTGAACTTTCTGGTGATGGGAAGGAGAGATTGAATTTGCTGGTGAAGGAAGCGTTGCCTGTTGATAATGAAGCCCTGCATGGTCGTAACTCTGGATGACGTTGTGTGTGTGCGGCGGTCGAGGCTCGCGCTGCTGGTCGCAAGGCTCGGGGAGCTCGTCGGCAGGTAACGAGCGTGTCTCTGCCTCCAAGTTTGCCAGTAAATAAAGTGAATGTCGAGTCTAACACGCCATTGTATATTCTTTACTTTTGTCTATTTAACTACTTATTTTAATTTGTAGAGTAGGTTTGTATTTTCGCTGTTTTGCTGGTTTTATCTGTTATTTTATTAGTTATTTTATTTCTTATGCTTTTAATGCCGTATTTTATGCACGCTTTGTTTTCGTTTTGTTTGTGATCTTTTTCAACTAAGGGTTTCAGTTTCTCATATGCATGCATTGTCCTCGTATAATGATGAACTTTCATCCTCATTACTAATGGCTTTCTTCCTTGCAGATTTAGTCTATCACATTTCTGCGTTCTGAATCGCTATGTTTTGTGCTGTATTTCTTAATTTTTAACGGTAGTCTGGCTTACACAGTGCTGTGCTTTGACGTATTTTTCCTGTGCAGATTTGAACGTAGATGTATCAGAAAAATGCTATAACTTATGATATTTTGGTCAACGTCATTTGCGCAATTCCCTAAATGCCATCGTTCCAACTGATTTTGAAATTTTTAGTGTTGATATATTACTATTTTTTTATTGTCACTATTTGATGGTTTAGAGCTCTAGCAAAGATTAATTAATGCCTACAGTTTACTTTGTATCCTCAGAGGCTGTTCTAACAATGAGCCACAGCGGCCAAGAGGCTGCAGGACCGAGCCTCCATCTTGTGGCGGCGGGGTTCCTAAAGATGCGGGTGCCCCCAACAGCGACGAGACGTCTGTTCGAACTCAGCAGTCGCCGAGTCAAATATTGCGTCCGGCGAACTCTGCTGACGATTGCAAGTTGTTTTGTCTTAGTTACAGCCGAGAGCTAATAAAGGAAATTGAGGAAAATTTACCTGGTGAAACTAGTGGTACTAATGCAGTAGATGTTGCTGGACAATCGTCTAGTCCAAACAGCTTTGCCGTGACGTCTGTCGTCGAGAGTCAAACTAGTGAAAAAACTCGGGAACCTTTGACCTCGCATCAGACAGTCACTGGTGATTCGACGCCGCCTCTGCCTACAAAGCGCGGCGGTGGCTCAGTCAAACCAAAGTGTATTCGAGCCAGAAAAGTTTCTGCTGCTAAAAAGAAAGGCGTTAGAAGTAGTAAAGTGTGGTCCAGTTGTGGTGAAGTTGAGGCTCTGCAGAAACATGGCAGTTTTGTACCTATGGATGTCGGACCATCGTGCACAGCCTCGCACAAACTCGCTCGCTCCCGCAAACGGGAGTCTGATTCTGAGGCTGAACTTGACAGAGACCTGTACTCTTACATTGAACCTGACGAGTAGCCTAGTCTTCCAATCTGCCGCTGTTAGTCTAGTTCACTGGGATGGAGCATCCGGTATCATCGTGGCCATGCTGGATGTTGTAGGTACCGGGAAATATTCACTGTAGCAGACGAATTGGACATATCCACACTTCATTATATAAGACAACTTATTTCACAACAGGTTTATCAACAGAAAACGTTTTCACAATTTTAACCTCATATTAATTAATGAGTGCAGTGCTCTGTAATGATCAAGTTAAATCGTTATCGCCTGTTTTACTGTTGAACCTTTTATTATGTGGCCATTAAACCTGCTAGCGTCCAGTCTTGACATTCCTCAGTGTTGTATTGCCACGTAAATGCCCACCTTGAACGGTAGGTACTCTTATAGAGTGTTGGGCGAATGTTCAAGCCTAACTTGCACTCTAGAATATGAGGCAACTGTTAGAGCCTAGCATATAATTTGTAATGTAAGGCAAAGGATCGTGGAGCCTATCCAATAATCTAGAATGTAGGGTGAATGTTTGAACCTAGCAGTGCTCTAGAATGTAGGGTAGATGTTTAACCTTTGCAGTTCTCCAAAAGGTTGAATAGCTGTTCGAATTTAGCAATAATTTAAAATAAAGGATAGATTTCCCTCAACGGTGTAGACCGAATTATCGAGCTTAGCATTTAAGGGCATATGCAAAGCCCGTGTAACAACTGCCTTTTCGTCCATTTTTGAAACTGCAGTAGCCAGCGCCTTGTTAGAAATAATTATCGCTTACATCCAAGCTATGGTAGCATATTGCTTACGCGTTCGTTCAAGTTTACGATAGCAAATTACCAGAATTTTAGTCTGTACCGATCAGCTCTTTGAACTAGCTTTTTATGATTGAACATTGAATGACTAATAAATAATTTATTGTATTCAATAATTAATACGCACGTCTATTCAAGTTCACTTATTCGTGGTCCAGCATGTCACATAAGGTTAAAGTTAAACGATCCCCGAAATTGATGGAGCAGCTAACTTCAAGTTGACGTCACGGTAAATGTTAGGTTAGCCTTGCATTAGTTGATATCCTGTAGAATGCTTTGCCTCAGTAGCTGAATTAGCCCTCACACACACCGTCCTATAACTATAACTCTTATACAATATAAGATTAATAACAAGTCCTGCCGTTTTTGTGGTATAGCTATAAGTTCTGTTGTGCCTCTGCCAATTTATTATCAATTTTATTGCATTTGTTGAAAACCTTCAACGCCTTGTGTATCCCAAACTGAATGCGAGACGCATGCAGAATGATAGAATCTTATGAGAGCTTCCATTTATTTGGTGAGTTATACACAGTTGCTCGAAATTTATTCCGCGTTAACTTGCCTTTAGAAATGTGTACCTATTATCTCATTCTGGAATATTTTAAATATTAGCAATGATTATACATCCCTTTTATTCCTTGTATTGTTCAATTTACCATGTCTTCTCGACTTAAGCTGTTCTCGCTCTCATGGCTGGTGTGTAGGTAATTCTTTTCTTGGTTCTTTTTTTGGGTCATATGTTAAGTACAATATGTGCTTTATACCTCAACGTTCTAATATCTAATACTGGCATTCATAGTATTTGACTCAGTGTTTTGTTCTTTAATTTTAAATATAAACAAGATTATTGTTGTCTGTCGTAAATTTTTTAAGGTTTTAGCCGCAAAGTTACCCGAACGACATTCTATTCTATCGCTAGCTAGCAACTCCGCCCGCTTGTACACTGAAAAGCTTACAGATCTGCCAGTTTCATTCCGCTTTCAGTCTGCTTCAGGCTTTTGGTTATCTCGTCTGAGATTTTTGAAGGTTGTATCATTATCTTAAGCGTACCGGTATTCGTTATCTTATCACCATCGTATCAATATCTTATCATTATCTAAAAGGTTAAGGCAGTCTAATGCGGAGAAATTCTGTTAATAATGTGAAATTGTTTAAACAAGTGAATAGTGTGTTACTGATTAGAAGTTGTATTATCAATTAGATATTATGTTGCCAAGTAGAATTGTGTTGCCAAACAGGAATTGTGTTCCCAATTAGATATGGTGTTCTCAATTAGATATTGTGTTACTCCCTATCAATTGAATATTGTTTTATACCCTTTCAATTATTTATTACGTGTGTATGGAACAATATGTGTGCCTTCGTTTGTGTTGTATTATAATATTTGATGCCGAGAAAATATTTCCAAAAGTGAGTTAACGAAAATGTTGCGATTTTGATTGCCTGTCTAATGTGCGAGGCTGAGGTCGGTGCCCGGGAGTACTCGACTCACATCAATGATAAAGTATGGGGTGAAGATCTTGTATATCCGGGACTTTTGCTGATTCAATCCGTAGTTTTCGTTTTCTTTACTGTTTATGAATTGTTTTACATTGTTGAATTGTTCAGTATAATTTATGCAAAATTTGTGTCATTTTCCAAAATCTGAAAATTCTGGACGTTTGAAGTTTGAGCAGGAAAGCTGAGGTAGGACTGAACCAATCTTATATTACTTCTTGATCTCGGTAGTTGTTGCTGATATTTTCAGGAACTTCGAATATGAATCATTTGTTAAAATTCCATCAAAAGGTACTGCAGATTTCACAAATTCAACGATGCGCGATTTATTTACAAATAATGGTTCTGCATTTTTCATTTAATCCATGACCATAAACTGAATTTTAAACATTTATTGGGGCTTAGAAATAAAATCTTGGTAAATGAGTTAGAAAGCTCGTGTTTGAGTTAGATGTATTAGCCTGTATTTTGGCATTACTGAAAATTTCATTAATATTTTGAAAAAAAAGCACACGGTGATCGAAGCGTTAGTGGCAGTATCGTCTGTTTCTTGGGTATCTCATATTTAATTAGTATTATTTTAAGCCACTGCAGTACTTGAATTTTCGCTTTGATGTTCATATTGAAGATGATGCCTATGATTCTCGATATTTCACGGCTTTTGGCTCGTCCCTGCCGTGTTTTGCTTCAAAGACTCTATGTACCGCCGGACGGAGACGATGCCGTGTGTCCGCGACGCTATCCGCAGATGCCGCGCCGCCATCCGCGGATTGATGAGCGGATTGTGCAGCTCCGCGATGCTGGTCGAGCATGCCGCTGCCGGTCCACCTGCTGTCGAGAGCGAGCCCAGCCAGAACTCGTTGCCTGCGTCCAGAAAATATTCATACTTCTAATGGTTACAGGTTAGAGTTGGCATGTTTCAAAGTATTAGTAAAATGGCCTGGCCAGTACTGAAATTTTTAACCGCTGTGATCACATGCTATGAATTTAAAAATTTAGGATGATTTGTAACTCTGCTATTCAAAATTTGCGGCTCCGAAATTCAAAATTGCGGGATAAGTCGAAGGAATTGTTTCTCAGAATAAAGTATTTTTTTTTTGGTTTAAGCTAAATGAATGTTTTCAATCGGCGCTTGGCATAGGGTTGAGGTCATTAGAGATATAATTAGATTATTTCCAATCATGGGCCAAAAATAATGCGTGAACAGAAGAGTATATTTTGGATGTCTAACTAACTTTCAGGATCAAGCAGCTTTCAATTTAGGGGGCAATCATGCGTCCAATTCAAGTCGCATAATTGTCACAACTATCCCTTACCTGGCATTGAATTTGAGTCAGCTGGATAATTGCAGACGAGTATGCAGTCCTTGGGAACTCGCTCGAGCAGTTGACGTTTCGAGAACTTCACAACGATTTCTGTGTTAGGAAACTTTTCTCCTGACTTGGTGCCGTGTATTCTGGAGACTGGAATGTCGCTGAAGTTGATGCAATTAATTTTGTCAGTGACGTTGAGCGGCATGGCTTGGATCGCTTGCGACCAGGCATCCACGTAGAGTTTGTTCTGTGTGGCCGATATCATCCATTCGTTGAGACCGATTCCAGAGACGTGAATGTACGCAAGTTTGTTGGCTTCCTTGGCTCGGTTGCTGGCATCGATCAACATGATTTCTGCAAGCATCTGCATTCGAGCCTTGTAGACCTGCTTGTCGAGATACGCATCTTTCAGTTGAATGTATTCGTAGTTCTCGGGTGAATTCTTAACCTCATCGAAGGTTGGTAAATAATCACGCCCCCAAAGCTTGGCCCAGGCTTGCAGGAGGCCAGACCGAGGAGATTTGTTATCTTTTCCGTACCCATTCTCAGGAGTATTTTGTTGTTGTTTGACTACACAATCCTGCCAGTCCATGAAACCCTCCTTCTCGAATCGAGCGCCCACCTGGCCAATGATGGTGCCTTCCAGTTCGTGGGTTGCGCCATTACCAATCTCACCGCAGTTGTTGCGGCCGCCATCGTTGATGAAGGGTGACATGGAGCTGAAGCTTATAAACGCAGCTAGACGCATCTCATCGTAGCTGTTAAATTGTTCTAAACTCAGATGCTTCTTGGGGTTCGAATCCTTGCCCACTAATTCAAAGTCGCCGAAGCCTGGGGCGCCGTCGAGTAGCAGGTAATGGTCCCACGGGTTGATGAAGACCACAGGACGCTGCTTGATGAGCTTCTCGACGAGCTCGTAAACTGTCAGTCTTTCGTATAACTCCCTGCAAAGTTCAGGGATAACATGAATACATCAGGGTATGTTTGAATCACTTATGGCATTCAACTGCAAGTGAATATGAGATCAATTTTTCAGAATATTTGAGCTATGTAAGATCTATGTCATCATAGAATTGATGTCAAATTAAACACCATGTAACAGTAATAACTAACAGTCTTATTTTCTTCACAAGACAGCAAGCAATTTCTTGTATTAATAAAAGTGATGGGACATAGAGAGTGAAAAGTTTGAGAAACTTAGCCAACCTCTCGACTTCTCCTCCCCAGTCAACTTTATGCTCTAGGAAAACAGGCAAGAGTGGAAGGAGTGTCTCGTGGATGACGGGATACGAGGAGTTGATGTAGCGACCTAGCACTTCGCGTGAGAAGACCTTGCCTTGCTTCCGCAGCTCGTTCTTGAACGGGTTAATCTGAAACAAACACGAAATATAATGGATAAAGAATATCAAATTCATTGTAATGGATATTCGAAACACATAGTTTATTCTAGCAATTTTTTCTTTTAATTTGAAGTATTTAGCGCAAGATAAACTTAGCTTTTAAGAAAAAATGTTGTTAATGGCATTAGGTTGCTGGCTTACATGTATCTAAGCCCTGACGAAGTACGAACATTCGCTCGAATTCTTTGCGAATTTAGAAAAATCATTTGAATTTTCTACGATGGTAAATATTTACTAGAACTAAAATTAACTATTATATTATCTATCTAACAACCGGCAAGTATAACTGCATCGGCTTGATGATCACCTTCAAAAGACTCTCAAGTCTGTTGGTGTGCACGGGGAACTGGATGGGGAAGCAGCGGCTGTTGTGAAGCACCTCATCCACCGTCACCTCATCCGCCTCCACGTCGGGGAAGCGTTCCAAGTGGCACATCAGGGCGGCTCCTTTTGTGTGCTCCTCAGCTGGCTTGGAACTGAAAGGGGACAAGGTCGTTATAGTATAATTAATTGTAAGGTAATTCATGCCTGCGACTCCGGTTCGCAACCTTGGTATTTTGCTGGACTCTGAGCTTTCGATGAACCATCACATTGCCAAGTCAGCACCGCGTTCTTTCGGCGCTCTGCTCACGAGGCCGGTCCTCGAGACCTTCGTGGTGGCGCTAGTTCAGACCAGATTGGACTTCACTATGGTAATGCCACACTCTACGAACTCTATTTATTAGTTTATTTAGTGTCCACAATCTATGAACACTTGATAAACTGTAATCCGTAATGAACGCTGCTGCGCGACTCGTGTGCAATAAGCGAAAATTGACGCCGATATTGTGCGATCTACATTGGCTGCGCATTCAGCAGCGCACGCAGTTCAAGGACGCTGTTCTGACATTCCGATGCCTTCACGGCCTGGCGCCCCCTTATCTCGCGGAATGTCTGCAGCGCGTGTCGTATCAATCATCTAGAAGGCGACTGCGTTCGTCATCAAGCAGCGGATCTCGTCGTTCCATCTACACTTCTATCTACCGTCGGCGACAGAGCGTTCCCGGTCGCCGCCGGAGCCTGGATCAGCCTGCCGGCTTCCGTATCATCGGCTCCTTCGTTGCAGGTGTCTCGTCGATGCCCAAAGACGGAACTATTGCACGGAAAATCGTTACACGCTTACTTTAGCGCGCAGTCGCGATAACATCACAATTAAATGATGAAGTTAATGGACCCACCTCATGATGCAGTGGAGTTTGAGACCCCAGAGGGCGCAGTGCAGTGATGCAGTGGAGTCTGACCCACCTGATGATGCAGTGGAGTCTGACCCACCTGATGATGCAGTGCAGTGATGCAGTGGAGTCTGACCCACCTAATGATGCAGTGCAGTGATGCAGTGGAGTCTGACCCACCTGATGATGCAGTGCAGTGATGCAGTGGAGTTTGACCCACCTGATGATGCAGTGCAGTGATGCAGTGGAGTTTGACCCACCTGATGATGCAGTGCAGTGATGCAGTGCAGTGATGCAGTGGAGTTTGACCTACTTGATGATGCAGTGCAGTGATGCAGTGGAGTTTGACCCACCTGATGATGCAGTGCAGTGATGCAGTGGAGTCGTGTTTGAGGCCCGCCAGGCCTTTCTCTCTCTTCCGCGCCCCATTCATCATCGGTTGGCCTATTCACAATCAACGATCGTCTCAATGGCACAATAGAGTTCATTGATTTCTTGGAATATTTTATACAAAAATGGCCTTGGCTATAGCGCGTGCTGAAATAAACTTCTGCTTCTAATGTGTAGATTGAATTTATGCGGAAGTTGTAGAGATAAATAAAAAAGTGATATCGTTCTCATTTTTTTTCACACAAACTACATTGAAATAACTTGTTCGTTTACTTTATACGCAAAATTGTCCAAATGTTGGACTACAAACTGGAATTTAGGCGAAATGATTTGTTTATCATACTAGCTGGTCTCTTAAAAACAGTCGAAAGTTTATAATTCTGTCATCCAATAGCTGATGGCTTTTTCAAAATTAACCCCCAATTGCAGATGAGAAATCGGCTGCTACGTGTACTTGGGTCGCTACGTGCTCTTAGGTCGCTACGTGCACTTAGACTGTTATGTGTACTAAAGCAAGTTTTGAAAGTACTGCCCCTAACTATTTGGTGAATCTTGATCACACCGCGTAGCTAAGCACCTGCTCTTGCGGACATCATTTGCCTGCATCGAAGTGCATCATTCAATCGATTATCGAACCACTCTTTACACATCCAAAGAACACAAGTCAGAGTACAGCCCATACAATTCTCTAGGTACTGCTTTTTTGAAATTGAAATGTATTCAAACTATAGATTTATTTTGGCGTTGTCAAGACACTTACTTGACTTCCCTAGCAACACGCCCAATTAGTCGAGGATAAACTGCAAGTACTGTTAAAGATAATCGAAATTAACAAATTATCATCAACGGCTGATAAACTAAATGGAATAATACACATACTCCTATTAATGGACAATTAATAAACAACTTAAACAATTAAATTTATTCGTTAATATCAAACGAGTCTCTAGGTTCCCATAACATTTTTATGTTCTAAATTCTAACTAGTAATGCAATATAATTATGCTGACTAGATAAAGCGTTACGAGAGAAGAAGTATTTCCAGCATTCAATCGTTATATAGTTGTGAGCTTTTCTGTTAAAGACCCAATTTTTAATCTAAGGAATGAAATATTTTTAAGGCTAGAGAATAAGTAACACATACCACTTGCCCCGCACGCCGCATGCACACTGGGCCACAAGTGAGGTGCTCTCGGCTGTGGCACTTATCGACGTGGCATGTCAGGTGCGTGTGCCCTGACCACGCCACACTGCGCCACACGTCTCAAGGTGCTCAGTCGGAGGGGCTGAGACGGCTTCACTTAATTAACAGCTCTACGTGCTGCCAGACGTGATGCGAACAAAAAAAGGGATACAATCGTATCCGCATAAGTTGCAGGTCTTGTAGTTATTCACACTTGCATTCAGCAATGATTAACAATTCGTTGCGGCATGATTTGCATGGGAATGATATTGTAGCCGAATTTGATAGAAGATCTTGCACTTCTAGAAACAAATAACAATAGTTTTTACCGCGACGGATCTTAGTTTCTATCTAAAGCTAATGTGTCGCCACATCTCTGAATGTTGTTGAACTGGAATTACCCTATACCTATTAACCTATTAACCAAAGATTTTCTATTGCTGAGTGAACAATTACACTTTCACATTTATTTTCGTGGTAAAGTCATATAATAAATAGAACACACGGATTCTCCTGGTCATTTGCGCTCTTAATATAGGCCTACAGCAATTTATTAGGAGCTCGGAGAGGCGCGTGCTGAATATTTCTGATGTGAATAAGAAAAAAAAAGTGGCAGCCAGGCTATGGTGTTTCTTTCAGATGATAGAAACACCACAGAAATCGCATTATATTCCTATTATAGAGATATTTTTAATATAAACCCATAAATTATGCAAAGCATCGAGAGTAAAATACAAAAAAAAAACATTATATATTCAATGGAAAAATAGATATTCAAATGATATTCATTGTATGACTGGAAGTAACTTTGGTCAGTTGCTGTGTTACCAAGGCACCCGAATAAATTAGCGCACGAACCTCGAATTTCCCAAATTCTGGGATTGTTTGCTGCAGAACTTCAGTTTTGGCAGCAAAAATGCTTTAACGAGTCGCACGATTTTCTTCCTACGCTACCTCCAGGGGCAGTTTAGTCAGTCAGGGTGCATAACGAAATTAATTCAGCAAAAGAAAAAAGGATCAGTCGTTAAAACCTTGAAAAAATGCGCTAATAATCGTTAACAAAATGAACTTCTTTTAAATCGATCAACGGAAAGATTAGATTTCGGTCGTAATTGCAGTTGAAAAAAAATTTAACTTGATTAATATGCTCGTGATGATATATTGTGCATATACAAAGACGAAAAGTTTTTTAACTGTTATAGTGTGCCAATAAACCCAAATGTTGCGGTTTCTGCAAAAATTCGGGTTTGCGGACATAGTCATTTCATTTTGATTGGCAGACATTGTCATTTTATTTTGATTTGCAAACATTGTCATTTAATTAGGATTTGCAGGCATTCTCATTTCATTTAGATTTGCAGACATTTGAATTTGAAGATAAACTGAATGATGAGCTACGCGGGACTAGAAATTGCCTTTCTAGTCCCACCAAACCCCTCAGCTTTTATGCTTGCTAATCACAAAAACAAAACTTCCTAGCATTTAAACTTGTTAATCACAAAACCTAGCATTTATGCTTGCTAATCACAAAACTTCCTAGCATGTATGCTTGCTAATCACAAAACTTCCTAGCATGTATGCTTGCTAATCATAAATTAAAACTTCATAGCATTTATGCCTGCTAATCACATCAGGCCCGCAAGCAAATACTTTGTAGAAGGAACTTGGCGTGACTGCTATCTCGGCGCTCCATGTAATTAGACTGTAAATGCTCTGAAAATGAAGGAGCTTGACTTTCACCGTACAGAAACCATTAATGTCTAAGATTTGTCTTCACTCATATAGCGTCGTCTCGACACATTGGCTTCACGCTTGTATTCACTCACGTTGCGTCGTCTCGACACATTGGCTTCTCGCTGTCTTCACTCATATAGCGTCGTCTCGACACATTGGCTTCTCGCTGTCTTCACTCATATAGCGTCGTCTCGACACATTGGCTTCACGCTGTCTTCACTCATATAGCGTCGTCTCGACACATTGTCTTCTCGCTGTCTTCACTCATATAGCGTCGTCTCGACACATTGGCTTCTCGCTGTCTTCACTCATATAGCGTCGTCTCGACACATTGGCTTCTCGCTGTCTTCACTCATATAGCGTCGTTTCGACACATTGGCTTCACGCTGTCTTCACTCAAATAGCGTCGTCTCGACACATTGGCTTCACGCTTGTATTCACTCATGTTGCGTCGTCTTGACCCAAAATCGTCTCATGTCATGGCAACATTAAAGCAGAGTTGAATTTATAATACCGGAAATATGAAGTCAAGGTCACAGGTGTTGTTTCACAAAAAAATTTGTTTGAAAGGAACGAAAGCATCATGCTGATGACTCGAAGGCATTACCAAAATCAGGAGCATAGTGTATTACAGGCTGTTCGTTGTCAAATGGTATATCATCCAATATATGTGCATTTCTAGGACTCTTGTATCTTTTGCTGCGATATGAAAAGCCTGAACCAGGCTATAAACTGATTCAATTCGGCAGTAATGTGGCACACGTGGTCTCGACAATCTCCACGACCTCGGCAGTTCAGAGGAGCGTCCGTTGTAGGTTAGTTGTCTGCGAGCTTCTGCGGCAGGAGGAGGTTGAGTCATTTAGCCCCCGGCAGGTTAATAAACTGGAAGTGTGATATGAGTTGAGTAGATCATGTGCTCGTAATGTTTGTAAATTAATTCAACTACCTATTTCACATAAAAAATAATTGTTAGTTTTATGTAATCAATTAAGTTAAAAACGGATTTACATTCAATATTATATTAGTCCTTATTCGTTCCCCTCTTTAGCTTAAATAAACAAAGTTTGTAAATAATGTAAGAGAAAATCTGTATTTCCAGTGTCGATACATAATCGAGAAAAAGAAACACGTGTTTCATGATTAATTTGGTTAAAATTATTGCATATTTCATTTGCGGGCATAAAGACATTAAGATATTTATGCATCCGAAATTCGACAAATCATTTATAAAGATCGTTTGTAACTACTCAAATAACTTCATCGTGGTGGTCACTGCATAACTACCGTAACTAACTCGATCGTTCCAGTACCGTAACAACCTTAACGGTCGCTTCGCACTGCATAGTAGCTGCCGTAACTACCTGTTTTCAGCTGTAACTGCTGCCAGTTCGTCGCACATCAGTAACAGGTTGAAGTTGTCTGTTGTATCTGAATTCGGAATTTTTTGAATCGGGCAGAGCATTACACCATCTCGGGAGCAGCCCATCAAAACACATGCACCATGAATGGGTGCAAGTATAGTTCATTAAAGCTATTATAGTAAGATGAGGATCAAACTAATTATGATGTTCAAAGTTGAACAGTTCAATATGTATCATAAGATTAATTATTGATAGAAACGAGCATTGCATTAAATTACATTATTATCTTATAATCACCCGATTATTATCAATAGTGTAACAATACCAATAATATATATAACAACACACTGTGACACAATTTGCAATAATATTATCATTATTATAACAAACAAGCATTGTTGTGAAAAAATAATGTCAAATAATATGGAATTTTAATTAGAGAGGTTGATCTGATACGGTAACAATGCTGCCTACCTACGCATGTTCAGACATAAGTCTACGGGAAATACCACCAGTATTTAATTAACTTTCAGAACGTGTCAAAATATAGGAATGATTAAGGAGCAGAGCAGGCATAATAACAAGAAATATTAAAAAATATCAATAATAAGAAATTCCTTTTGTAACAGGTAAGATTTCAGCTTCTACTTTGCCTGGTTGAACGATTTTGATTTTTATGCAATACTTTAAATGCGGTGAATTGCTGAACTTGCACTCATACAATTTGAACTTGCACTCATACAATGTGTTAGTAATTGTTTTTTTATGTGTTTTTGTTGCCCTTTCATCGCCATGCTGAGTGGCACGCTCAACTTCTGCTGGTGCAACTTATTCATCCATGAGTTCCAACACCATAACAATTGGAAGGACCGCTTTAGTTGACCAAAAAACTGAAAAGAATATTACTGAAGATATTCCATTCTGTTCTAACGAAAAATAATCAAATTGTTTTTCCGAATACAGGATGAAAAATTTCCTCTCTGACGACGACCGAACTCGCAATTAAAAATTTCATCTTGTTACATCGTTTCTCCTCATTATAGGGAAAATATTATTAATCCCAGTTATTAAACAAATCAATTTTCAATTTATGCTTTCGTTTCATATTTTACTCAAGTGTAGAAACTTTCATCGAAAGAGGGCGAGCTCTTTTTTTCAAGCATGCATTTCCAAAA